CGGAAGTCTTGAGGTTGGACTGCACGGGGAATGAGGAGGAGGGAGGCAGAAGCGGAAGAAAGGGAGGCTTCTTTTGCTGCCTCATCGGGCTTTCTGTTGCCTCTTGAGATTTTATCTGTTCCTGTTTGATGTCCCCAACAGTGTATAACTCCTGCCTCAGTTGGGAGATGTACGGCCTGAAGGAGTTGGTAAATAAGGGGGCTGTTAGTGATAGGGGTCCCTTTGGCAGTAAGGAATCCCCTCTCTTGCCAGATGGCGGCACGGGAATGAAGAATGTGATATGCTTATTTGGAGTCTGTGTAAATGTTGACTCGTTTGCTTTTGGAAAGGGTTAGGGCTCTGGTGAGAGCTGTGAGTTCTGCTTTTTGAGAGGAGGTTCCTAGAGGTAGAGGCTTAGCTTCAATTACTCGGTCAAGGGAAACAACTGCATACCCAGCAATTTTGGAGGAGCCGGTGGGCCCGGAGGAGAAGCCATCTATAAATAGTTGGTCATCGGGGTTGGTGAGAGGCTTGGAGGAAATGTTAGGAAAGTGTGGCTGCAGGTGATCTAGGATGTCAGTGCAAGAATGAGTAGGAGGAGAAGATACAGGGAGGAAGGATGCTGGGTTAAGGGGAGAACTTTTGGCAAGACTGAATTTGGGATTTTTGATAAAGAGGGCATGGAGTAATCGAATCCGGGAAGGAGGAAGGGAGCCTAATGGGAGGAGAGGAGATCCTGTAGATTATGAGGACTGTAGACGGTGGTATTTTGACTGAATGTTAGTTTCCTGCTTTCTAGAGCTAAAGCAGCCGCTGCTGCTAGCGCTCTAAGACAGGTTGACCATCCTCTGGCTGTGTTGTCTAATTGTTTAGAGAGGTAGGCTACAGGGGCAAAGGAAGGAGGGTCTCCCTTCTGTTGCCCTAAGACACCGAGGGCTGTTCCTCGGCTCTCGGCAGTATAGAGAGTGAAAGGTTGGGGGACACCAGGTAGGGACAGAGCTGGAGCAGTGACAAGAGCAGTTTGAAGTTTGCAGAAGCTGGGGAATATGTTATGCGAGGGATTTAGAGGCTCATTGAGAGGGCCTTTGGCTGCTTCATACAGCGGGTGAGCTAGGAGGGCAAAGTTGGGAATCCGTATTCTTAAAAAGCTTGCTAGTTCTAGGAAGGAAAGGACTTTGCTTTTGGAGGAGGGTGCGGGCAGATTATCTATGAGTGCTGCTCGGGCGGGGGTCATAGCCTGGGCCCCAGGGGAAAGTTGAACTCGTAGGTAAGTTACTATGGAGGTGGAAAGTGGAGCTTTGAACAGGGAGACTCTATACCCTTTGGTGGAGAGAAAGTTTAAGAGAGTGACTGTGTGGGTTTGAGAGTCTTCTAGAGAGGGCTGCGAAGGAGAAGATTGTCCACGTATTGAAGGAGACGGCTTAGGGGAAAGGTTTAAGGAGGTGAGATCTCGAGCTGAAGCTTGTCCGAAGAAATGAGGGCTATCTCTGAAGCCTTGAGGGAGGACAGTCTAGGTGCGTTGTTGTGACTGGAGAGTGTCAGGGTCGGTCCGGGTGAAAGCAAAGAGGTTTTGGGAATCAGGGTGCAGGGGAATAGTAAAAAAGGCATCTTTTAGGTCAACAGCAGTGGTAGTGGGTGGTGTTGGAGGGAATGAGAGGGAGAAGTACATAGGGGTTAGGAACTATGGGGTGAATAGGAAGGACAGCCTGATTGATGGCTTGGAGGCCTTGGGAGAGTGGGTATGAACCGTCTGATTTTTTAACCGGAAGGGTGGGGGTGTTACATGAAGAATGTGTTGGCCTAAGAAGACCGCGTGAACAGAGCTTGTTTATAATGGGCTGTAAGCCTTTTTGGTGGGTTAGGGAGATGGGGTATTGGGGGATGTTGTGAAATTTAGAGAGGTCTTTTAACTGGATTTTGATGGGGTCATGGTGAGCAGCTAGAGAACAGGTGGTGGTGTCCCATCCTACTGGGTTTATGAGAGAGGTGGGAAGTGGGTACTGGGGAGAGAGGTCAGGGGCTGGACTAGTAGAGAGGAGTAAGAGGGACTCTGGTTGAGGGAGGCAGAAAAAGGTGATAGAAGCTTTGAATTTGGCCAAAATTTGAATTTGAATTTGAATTCTGAATTGAATTTGGTTTTGAATTTGGCCTAGGAGGGGGCAGGGCAATGAGGCATGGTAAGGAAAGAGTGTGAGAAAACAGTATCAAACAGAGAGCAAATAAGGGGTCTGATGGCACATGGATGCAGGATGCCATCGTCCCCCATGACTGAGACCTGAAAGGGATGAGTGGGTCCTGAAAATTCAGGCAAAGCCGAGTAGGTGGCCCTGCTATCAATTAAAAAAGAGATCAGCTTACCTGCTACTTGCTGAGTTACCCTGGGCTCTGATGCAGTGATGGCAGATGGGGCCGGGGGCCCTGGCCCGTAGCTGCAGGAATGCAAGCAGTTCTTCATATTTTGTCATGTTAAAGGGGTGGTGGCTCTGAGGAGCAGGCTTCTCTGTCCGTTTGCTGAGAGGACAGTCAGACTTCCAGTGGCCTGTCTGCTGGCTGACTGGGCAAGGGCTCTTTGGCACTCGAGGGTTAGGACATGCCCATGCCCAATGGCCTTCTTTGCTGCCCTTAAAACAAGGCCTGGAGGGTTGCTGCTATCGGGTCTTTTGTGCCCTTGGGTAATATGGCTGAGTTGACGTATAGCTGCTGCTAGAAGCTGGTATAGCTGCTGCTAGAAGCTGGTATTTAGCACGATTTCTTTGGGCTTTATCTAGTTTATTTTGCTCATCCCTGTTATTAAAGACTTTGAGAGCCAGGTTAAGGAGGTCTCGTTGTGGGGTCTGAGGGGCATCTTCAGCCTTTTTAAGTTTGCGCCAGATGTCGGGGGCAGTTTGGGAAATAAAATGGGTGTTAAGAACAATAGTTCACTACTTCTCAGGAGGCGGGATCGTCACGGGTATATTTTTGGAGTCTCTGTAAGGCAAGAAAGGAATTGGGCAGGGTTTTCGTTGGCCTTTTGGGAGCTTCCTTTGAGTTTTTCGAAATTTACAGCCTTATGGCCAGTTTTGTTAAGGCCTGCGATGAGGCAAGTAATCATATGCATACAGGAGGCCTGGCCGGATTCTGTGGGTTGATAATTCCAGGTAGGCTCTTCTCGGGAAACGGCAGCGCCCCCTACTGGCCTAGTAGAATCTTGCCGATGGAGGTCATCGGCACGGGCCTGGGCTGCAAGCCACGCTCTTTCCTTTTCTTCCGGAAGGAGGGTAGAAGACAAAATAATATAGAGATCATGCCAAGTAAGTTCATAAGACTGGGTGAGATATTTAAATTCTTTGATATAAGTGTTGGGATCGGAGAAGGACCCGAGACGTTTCTCAGTTTGGGAGAGATCGGAGAGGGAAAAGGGGATGTGGACGCAAACGATCCCTTCGGCCCCTGACACTTCCCAGAGAAGCAGCAAGGGAGCAGGCTGCTGGGCGTGGTGGGCTGGAGAACGAGTACGCGGTGGCGATGGGGAGGACTCAGAGTTGGAGGCGGGGTGGTTGGAGAGAGGGAGAGAGAGGTAGAGCCGGAGCGGAGGCGTACGGTGGGGGGTCATGCTGTTCTGGTGGAGGATTAGGATGTTGTCGAGGAGGGGAGAAATCAGCGGGATCAAAGAAGGGAGAAGTCGTCGGCTGGGGCTATTGAGATGAGGGGAGCAGGAGGCCAGTCGGGTTTGGAGCAGGCGAGGAGAATTTGGAAGGTACAGCAGGACTGGCGGAGGGAGGGACAACTACGGACGGTAGAGAAAGCCTGAACGTAAGGAATCTCAGACCACTTCCCACAGCGCTGGCAAAAGTTGTCTAAGTCCCTGAGCATGTTGGAATTGAAAGCGCCATTTTCAGGCCGTTGGGAGCCATGGTCTAATTTGTATTGAGGCCACGCGGCGTTACAGTAAAAGATAAGCCTTTTAGGGCAGATTTCTGAACAGAGGCCAAGAGTACTGAGATTGTGTAGGAGGCACCCAAGGGGGGTGGTTTTAGGAGGAATAGACTGAGAGGCTCCCATAGTGAATGGGAGTGAAGGGAGAGGGGTAGAGGAAGAAGAGACTGCCGGTGATGTCCCTTTCCCGTGGAACTTGTCCGGAATAGAGGAGGTAACCGCCATGTTAGGCGTCCCTGAAATGGAGGAACCAGAGGCCCGGAGGGTGGAGGAAGCCCTTGGCCCAGCCAAGGTCTTTCGGAAACGGAGAGATGGATGGTAAAGAGTTCCAGGGAATGGCAACAGTCTCTTTTTACTCACCCTGGCAGAGGCTTTGATGGTGGATGAAGTCACCAGCAATGGGAGAGTCTAGGAGATTCTCTGGGTCTTTGGCAGGTTCAGGGAAGGGAAGATTGGCCAGGAGAGGGGTGATAGGGGAGGGAGGCAGAGAGAGAGAAAGAGAGAGAGAGATTGATAGTGAGTGAGTCCTGGCCAGAGTCTATCCCCCTTTCCGGGTTTTGGCACCAGAAAGTAAGGTCAGCCAAGAGAAAGGAAAAATTGACCCAAAGTCAGGCAAGCAAGTTTTTATTAACCTGCTGCTGCCCCCTTAACAGTCAGAGGAAGTAGCCCCAAGCTTACAGAATGAGGGGTTTATATTGGGGAGGGGAGTTTGAGGGAATTCTTCGGTATGGATATCCCAGGATTGTTTGCTGGTTAATTTAGCCACATATCACCTTGTGATGTTTATGGTAGCGACTAGATGAAGAGCAGGAACTTACAGGAGGGTGTAGGTAAAGTTTGTTTATGCTTCCCACAACCTCCCCCTATGCGGTCCAGATGGTTTGTAATTGGGGTTTGCTTATCGAAGCAAGGTCTGATGAGTGAAGTCTGCTGGCTCTGAAGTGGCACCTAGATAAGAGCTTAGAAATATAAAGAGGCTTGGGGGAAGGGTAGACGGCACGGAGAAGGGTTGCAGAGCATTAGAGGGAGGGGTGGGCAGCACCAAGAGGCTTTTTTGGGGTAGTTTGTCCCTAACACTGACCACAATGCCCCTTGTGCCCTTCCAGTCTGCAGCCCCTCTTCCCTGGAGTAAATGAACTGGACCAAATCTCAAAAATCCACGATGTCATCGGCACACCTGCTCAGAAGACCCTCACCAAGTTCAAACAGTAAGTGTTGTGCTCTGAGGGTGGACGTGGACTCACTCCCCTGCCAGGACCTGTGGCAGGGCAAGCCCCTCCCTGAGCCTCCCTCAAACCCCTCACTCTCAGGGCTCCAAGTTCACTTGAGGGCCAGTGAGTGGCTGCTCAGACAGAGCCCATCACTTTAAGGGGTCTCAAAGGTGAGCTCTTCCTTGAGCATCACAGAAAGATTTGTCACAGGCTTTCTGAGGGCCGGGGAGTCAGGCTCTGTTGCCTGAGTAATTTAAACAGGACTTAGAAGCCTTTGGGTGGAAATGTTCCCCAAGCACAGACCATAGGTGGTGAGGGCTTTCTGCAGCCCTCCATGGCCCTGCTGGCGGGACCGACACCTGGAAGAGGTGTTCCCAGACTCTCAGGGGTCATTCTGATGAAGCTGAGGCTGGGGAGTCGGGACTCCCCAGGGAGGGCCTGTGGGCTGAAGGGGCGAGTAGCACCTAGCAGCCCCCAGATCCCAGGGAGGGAGAAGGTGGCAACAATTTTGGACTCTTCTTTTTTTTTTTTTTTTTTGAGACGGAGTCTCGCTCTGTCACCCAAGCTGGAGTGCAGTGGCCGGATCTCAGCTCACTGCAAGCTCCGCCTCCCGGGTTCACGCCATTCTCCTGCCTCAGCCTCCCGAGTAGCTGGGACTACAGGCGTCCGCCACCTCGCCCAGCTAGTTTTTTGTATTTTTTTAGTAGAGACGGGGTTTCACCATGTTAGCCAGGATGGTCTTGATCTCCTGACCTTGTGATCTGCCCGTCTCGGCCTCCCAAAGTGCTGGGATTACAGGCTTGAGCCACCGCGCTCGGCCTTCTTTTTTTGTTAAAGTTTACTTCATTCTTCTCATGCGGGAAGGTAATATTAATCTTTTATAGGAAAGGTAGTTTTCTTACATTTATAGCATAACAGATCCCCCCCTTTACCATAGACTATTTTAATAGATTTTTTTTAAGAGCAGTTTTAGGTTTCCATAGAGCCCTGTGCCCACGGGCACACAGCCTCCCCGGTGGTCAGCACCCCCTCGAGTGGTGTGTTAGTTATGGTCGGTGAATCACGAGTATCTCATTACTGCACAGGGCCCATCATTTACATCAGGGGTCCCTCTTGGTGCTGCACGTTCTGTGGGCTGGGACAGGTGTAGACTCTGCACCATGCAGGGCCCTTAGTCGTGACCGTGGACCGCCGGTGCACTCAGTGACAGCGTGACCGTTTATTATCATTGGGCTTTTAATACAGGTCGAGCGCTATGAATTTTGATTTTCCTTTTAAAAGGGGATCAGGAATACCTCTACTGACAACCAATTTGTCCCCACAATGCCTCTCCCTCCTGCGCGCACTGGTGGCCTATGACCCCGATGAGAGAATCGCCGCCCACCAGGCCCTGCAGCACCCCTACTTCCAAGAACAGAGGTAGGCGCTCTCCCGGGTTCTGTGGGGCAGATGCAGGACCTGGCACATGAGACCCATGGGCACACAGTGGGGCAAGGGACTGCCCTCTGGAGGGTCCCTGGTTCTTGGGAATCACGCTCTCCATCCTGAAGAGTGGTCAGGGCCTCTTGGGGCCCCCACCGTGCTGTGTTCTGACGTATCCTCCCCAAAATGAGGCTGTTAGCAGCTCCATGGCAGGAGAAAGAGGGGCTGGCTGCCCACGTTGTGGTTGATGCAGAGGCTACAGGTAGTAAGCCTTCTAGAAGAGCCTGGTGTGCAGCCCTTGTCAATGGTGTGAACAGGACGCATTCTGAGATGGTAGAGCACTTTGGATGTCACCTGGCACTGGAAGTACCTGCTGAATGTGAACTAAGACTTGTCTGCCCTGAGGTCATCTAATTCCGTACCTCTGGACACTCCTGTATGCGTCACTGTGGAGGTGACAGTTTGATCCCAAACCGTGAGTCCCTGGGTAGTCAGTGCCTCTGGTCCATGGAGCCAGCTCTGTTCCTGGCCCAGAGACTGCCAGGCTGAGACAGAAAAGAAAAAAAAAAAAGCCCCCTGATTACAGCTTATGCAGAAAAGAAGAGCTAGTGGCAACTCACACAGTAGACAAATTGGAGGCAAAGAAGCCAACAGGCCGTGTGCTCTGCGGGCTCTCGGTGGAGCTGCTCCGTTCTCTTCTCCTTCCCCGTAGGAAAACAGAGAAGCGGGCTCTGGGCAGCCACAGAAAAGCTTGCTTTCCGGAGCACCCTGTGGCACCGGAACCACTCAGTACCAGCTGCCAGATTTCAAAGGAGGGCAGAAAGCAGGTACTAAGCGAAATCGGAGCTGGAGACCACCCAGCTCAGCGGGGACTGGATGCCCTCAGGTGGCCTGTGTCTCTCTGAGGAGGACGCCACCTGTGGAGGCTGTGGCAGACCATGTTGTCAGTCGAGGCCTGAACAGCATGCGAATTGATGGCTGCATATGTTGGGATGTCAGGGACCCCAGTTCTATTTGCTCAAGCCCTTTCTGCCCCAGTAGCTAAGAATTAATGACGAATATCCCATGTGAGCAGGCCCAGAGAGGGGACCCTTGCATGAACTTTTGTGTCTGTCCTGATGACCACATGCGGGTGCTAGGTTCTATGCCAAAGCACTGTGGAGACATCGTCCCTCAGAACGGCCCTGGAGGGAGGCGCCGAGAAGATGCAATGCTGGTCCGAGTCACCCACCCAGCTGGTGACAGGCCTCAAGTCCTAGGCCCGAGTCACCGACCCAGCCGATGACAGGTCTCAAGTCCTAGGCAGGCCACGCTGTCTCTAGCCCCAGATGAGCACTTCGTCCCATCAGCGGAGGTTGTGCACATTTTGGGTTGAGAAATGCCAGCTTTGCTCCTCAGTGCCTTCACCTTCCCACCTACCATGTGGCATCCTAGCCCGGTGCAGCCCTGTGGCACCTGCTGGCAGGATTGCACCAGTCTCCTAGTTCTGGGCTGGCACCCCAACAGTGTGACAGTGTGCCCTTCCATCATTCATCTGTTCGGTTGTCCCTACGTCACTCGCTCCTCCCAGCCTTTACTGAGTGCTCCCTGCCCGCTTGGGAGCTGGGAACCCAGAGCTGCAGTCAGACTGCTCTCCAGAAAGCCAGGCTCCTGTGTCCCGTTGGCCCCTGATTTGACAGCTCCACTTGAATGTCCAAAAGACAAATGTGCTGAAACCCCTTCTCCTGATCTTTCCCCCAAATGTGCTTTTTCCCTGTAGCTTCCCATGGCCTTCCCTCCGGGGCAGGCAACTCCGCCGACTGCCCAGGCCCCCCGTGGACCCTTCCTTCATCTCACAGGGGCTTCGCCTTCTTGCCTCCTACATCCTCCTCACCTTGCCTAAGTCACCACAGATGGCCTCCTCACTACTGTCCCTGCTCTGCCTCTGCTCCCTCCTGGACAGAGGGTCTGCTTCAAACCGTTGATGTCACTCCAGGCCGCATTCACCCAAGTCCCCACCCTCAGTCACATCCGAGGTCGGCATGCTTTTCTCTAAGGGCCCGACAGGAAATATTTTAGGCCCCGTGGCCGTGGGATGCTGGTTACACTCCCCGCTTTGCTGCAGTGTGAAAGCAGCTGGAGGCAACACAGGAACCACATCGGGGGCTGCGTTCCAGTAGAACTGGGGACACTAGAATTTGAATTTCACATCATTTTCATATGCCATGAAACATTTTTTTTTCAATTATTAAAAAATATAAAAACTGGGTGGGTGTGGTGGCTCACACCTATAAACTCAGTGCTTAGGGAGGCCAAAGTAGGGTCACTTAGGCCAGGAGTTTGAGACCAGCTTGGGCAACGTAGGCAAGACTACTCCCCCACCACCCCATCTGTTTTAAAAATCAGCTGGGTGTGGTGGTGCGTGCCTTTAGTCCCAGCTGCTTGGGAGGCTGAGGCAGGAGGATTGCCTGAGCCTAGGAAGCTGAGGCTACAGTGAGCCAAGATTGCACCACTGCACTCCAGTCTGGGCTACAGAGCAACACCCTGTCTCAAAAAACAAACAAACAAAAAACAAAGAAACCCAAATGTAAAACCATCCTTAGCTTACAAGCCCCTCAAAAGCAAGCAGCAGGCAGGTCAGAGTGTGAGGCCTTGGAGCTAGAGTAGGAGGCCGGAGGCGTGGGCACCACTGCCCGCCAGCCCTTTGCCACCCACACTCCTCAGCTCGCAGTCTGCGTGCTTCAGGTTCCCCCTGAAGGTTTGGCCTCCGCCGTGGGACTCTCGTGAGCAGCCACTCCCTTGGGGTGTCTGGGACCTGGTGAATGTGTCCCAGTCACATCTCATGGTCAAGAAATTGTATTAGCCAAAAGCAGTACAAAAGAGCCTCTTTCATTTTTCCTAATTTCCATAAAGGGGAAAGCATTTTATGTCCAACTGGCCTCTGTTCTGTTTCAAGAAACAGTCCCTAAAGCAAGAGGAGGACCATCCCAAGAGACAAGGACCGGCCTACGTCATGGAACTGCCCAAACTAAAGCTTTCGGGAGTGGCCAAACTGTCGTCTTACTCCAGCCCCACGCTGCAGTCCGCGCTTGAATCTGGGACAAATGGAAGAGCGCCGGTGCTGAGACCCTTGAAGTGCATCCCTGCGACCAAGAAGGTAGCACGGAGCCAGCTTCTCCGGCGGCTGTGCTCTCCCGCCCTGCCCAGGCCGCCACTGAATTTCGTGTCTGTAATTTTTCTTTGACAGACAGATCCGCGGAAGGACCTTAAGCCTGCCCCGCAGCAGTGTCGCCTGCCCACCATAGTGCGGAAAGGCGGAAGATACTGAGCAGCACAGTCGTCTCGACTTCCGGAGGCAACACCAGGCCCAATCGGGCCAGGCCTGGGCGATCTGCCGTTGAGACGCCACGGAGGGCTGGGGACGCACCTGCGTCCGTTTCGCGCTGGCTGGGGCTCTGGGTGCTGCCCTGCGCCCCACCGCACCCGCGGCCCGCGCAGCTGCCCAGGATGTTCTGGGCTAATACATTTGTAAAACCACATTCTAGGGTTTTCTTTCATTTTCATTAAGAATTTGAGGCAGGGAATATTTTGTAACTTTGTATATGAATCAAAACAAGCAGGCATTTCTGTGATCAGTTGGGCGTGGTTGGAAGGTGGGCCCTGCGTGTCCCCTCCCAGCGCTTTTCTGGCGCTGCTGGTCAGTCGTGGAGCGCACCACCTCTTACCAGTGACGCTACTGGACACCCCGACTTTTATTAAAGAATAAGCTGTCGTTACAGTATTGCATTTTAGTATTCTCCGAGTCCAACATGTGTCCTTACCAGCCATTCCTTTATTTTAGCTTTTGTGGGCACATGAGGGGAATTGATTTTGTTAGGAAGGCTTTGATGTGGCTTAATTTTTTTTTTTTTGAGGCGGAGTTTCGCTGGTTCCCCAGGTTGGAGTGCAGTGGTGCGATCTTGGCTCACTGCAACCTCCACCTCCCGGGTTCAAGGGATTCTCCTGCCTCAGCCTCCAGAGTAGCTGGGATTACATGCATGCGTCACCACGCCCGGCTGATTTTTTGTATTTTTACTAGAGATGGGGTTTCTCCATGTTGGTCAGACTGGTCTCAAACTCCTGACTTCAGGTGATCCTCCTGCCTCAGCCTCCCAAAGTGCTGGGATTACAGGCATGAGCCACTGCGCCCGGCCTGGTGTGGCTTAATTTTCATTTGAAGAACCACTCAGGAAGGAGCATACACAGGCATGTCCTTGGAGCCCTGTGTGCTCCTCAGTGACCAGCCTGGCAAGGTGGTACGGGGCACAGGGCAGGCCTGCAGGGTCTCTTCTGAGCACAGGCTTCAAGGTGACCACGTTGTCATTTTAGCTCCTGGTGCCCACCTGTCTCTGGGGAGTATGGAGCCCTGCCCCAGGCCTGCCAGTGGGTGCTTTGAGCTATTTGCCGAGTGCCAACAATAAGTTGGGTACCTTGTGTCCTAGAAAAAGAAACCTGCTTCCCCGTGGGGATGGGATGGGAACATTGCAAAGAAACTGGCACTGGCCGGGCTGCTGGGCACAAGAAAAGTCCTAGTAAGTCCTCGTTTATCTTGGAAAGTAACTTAGTAATTGGGTCCTCCTTTTTTTTGTCATCTTCCCAAACTTATGAGATATTTTTGAAAAAAGCTAAATTTCCCGGGCTAGTGTTTAGGCCTCCTTGTTCCTGTGTTGAGACAAATCTGTGACACCCACCCTTCATGTGCTGTCCAGTGGCTCTGGCCCCAGCCCCAGGCCATCTGACACGACAGTGGACTCTGGGCCATACGGAGGGAGGGCAGGCTGGAGGAGGAGGAAAGGGCTGGGAGCGTGGGGCAGCGAGTCCATAGGTACAGGTGCCCGGTCTGTGCCACATGGGGGTCAAAGGAGCCCAAGAAGAAGGGCAGATTACAGCCCGGAAGTGAGGCTTGCCATAATGTTCAGAGCAGGCCTCTCCCTGGGCTCCTTTTAAACCCATTTGAGACCCTGGTGCAGCCTTCAGGGCTGCCCTTGCTGTAGGGGAGGTGTCTGAGCAGGGTGGGTGGCACCGTTCTGCCTCCACAGAGGGCCTGGGAGTCCCAGGGGAGTCGGACACCAGGGATGTGGGCAGAGCCCAGCAGCAGGGAGGGCTGGGGGACTGAAGGCTGGGGAGGTAGGGGTGGGGGTGGGGCGCACAGGTCACAAGAGAGGGACCTGTGGGTAGGGGAGTGGTGGCTAGGAGGGGCGTGCCCTGTCCCCGGGCCTGGCTTCAGTGTCGGGCATGTAAACGGATTGTTTGTGTACTTGGGAAACGTGTTCTTCCCTTTACATCTAAAAATATGAAGGGAAAGTCTTGACAGTTCTTCTGCAGGCATTTTTGAGAAAGCAAGTGTGGTCTGCAGATGCTGGTGCCCCGGACATCAGCTGCGCTGACTTCTGTCACCCTCCTCGTGGTGGGGGCAGCACGGCTGGGGGCTCTCTGAAGGCAAGAAAGTCCCTAAAGCAAGAGGAGGACCATCCCAAGGCCCGCCGCTTGAGGCCCTCCTGGTTTTGTTGGACTTGGACATAAACGCTCTGAAGCAATGTAGAGCCCCCGGCACGCCAGGGCCCAGGGCAGCTGGGCCTCCAGGATGGAGGTGAGCAGGGGACCAGAGCCCAGCTCCACAGGCCCCCTCCATGGAGGAGTGACGGGGGTCTGTGGCGCACAGCAGGGTTCCCACATCGGCTTCCCAAGTCCAAAGGTGGAGATTCCGAGGGTGATGATTTCCTGCAGATTTGGAGAAAAGGGAAATCCTGCCGGCCACCCTTGGACTTCCTGCCCTGCACTTGGGCCTCGCACCTGCCTGCTCTCGGCAGCAGGCGCCAGGATCCCCAGGCTGCCTTAGCTGTGTGTGGTTCCCTGTGTCTGTCTGGGCCCTGTGATGGGGGCCAGGGCTGAGGGCAGAGGGGCCAGGCTGGCTCAGCCCATAGGAGGCCACCTCACCCTGCTGCCGCCTCTGCCGCCCCAACTGGAAAGCTGGCCGGATTATTTCCATTCTTCTGTGCAATGCAACTGAAGCGCTTGAATTATCCCCACAGAACCCAGAACGGAGGCAAGGATGAGGCCTCAGCCATCCTCCTCCCCATTCAAACACGTTCATCCCACAATCCTCTGCTGAGCACCTGCGCTGCACTGTCGCCCTTCTTGTGCGAGCCTACCCTCGTCCACCCACCTCACCCTCCTGACCTTAAAGAAGACACTAGGCAGAAGCACAGGGGAGCCACTCTCCACACTGGTGGGGCGGGCCTTGCGGGGAGAAGCAGTAAGCAGCCATCTCCGTCAGCCATCTCCGTCTGGCACTCAGATGTGCATGCCTTCATGTGACAGGCAGCAGCAGTGTGACCGTGACCTCCTGTCTCCTGCTCTGCTGCCCCCACAACTGCGGTGCAGCCAGCCTGCCACGAGGCAGCTAGAGTCCAGCTAGACCCACCCCTGGCGTGGCCGACCTCTTCCTGGCTTTCTCTGGGCCTAATCCCGTGAGGAGCGTGCATTCTTCAACGCCGGAAGTGTAAGGAAGTTCAAGGCAAGTGAGAAAAACCCAAATCGTCCCAGGGAAGCTCGTCTTTCCAGGGCGTCTGAGTGAGGGCATGACCAGCCTTGATGCTGCCTCACTGCCATCTGCCCAGGGCCTGCTGAATGCTTGAGTCCGTGGTGACAGTGGTGGGGACAGTTATGAGGCAGTCAGAGTTTGGAAGTCATCTTGGCCGACTTGGCTACAGAGCAGTCTTAGGAACAGCGCCATAAAAATAAAGATTTATTCCTGGCACAGATGCATCTAGAGTAAACTGGGGCATATCTGACAGCGTTAGTACTGTGATGGCCAAATGCAAAGTGCACTCCAGAACCAGCGAAGGGTGACAGACTGGGCTGAGGCAGAGCTAGGACTACCCATCTCGAGTGATACCATCTCGGGGCCAGCAAAAGTTTTGGACACAGCTGGGTCATCTGACCAAACTGCTCAAGTCTTTACGTAATTATTGTCCTGGTATTAAATTTCCACCTGCCACTTTCCACAAACAGGAAACAGAATAAGGAGATGACCAGGAAGATTGCCAGATTAAGAATTCTAGACTTGGCCAGGTGCGGTGGTTCATACCTATAATCCTAGCATCTTGGGAGGCTGAGGCAGGAGGATCGCTTGAGCCCAGGAGTTTGAGACCAGCCTAGGCAACATAAGGAGACCCCATCTCTACAAAATACCAAAAAATTACTCAGGTGTGGTGGCACACATGCGTGATCCCAGCTACTCAGGAGGCTGAGGTGGGAGGATCACTTGAACCCAGGAGGTTGGGGCTGCAATGAGCTATGATCGCACCACTTCATTCCAGCCTGGATGATAGGTGAGATTCTGTCTTAAACAGAAAATAATTTTAGACTTATTTTCAAAAGTAGTTCCTTCTGACTTCCAAATACACCCGCGGTTCACTGTAGCTGTTTTGGACCCTCCTGGGTTTGGCTTCCTGTGTAACTGACAGCACCTAGCAATCAGTACTTTAAGATGACAGAAATACCAAAGTACCTAAAATGTGCTAATATTTTAATACAGAGGTCACTCTGCATGTGTCTGATTTATCCATTCTGATTCTTTCATTTAGAACAGCAAGTCTTAGTGTCTTGTATTTCTCTTTCTAGAAGACTCACACCATAGTTCATGGCCCCGTGATCCAGAGGCCCTGCTGGGGCCTCTGAGTGGGGCAGGCTGAGAACTCAAGCCGTAACTAATCTCTCCCCTGAAGAAAACTAAACTGAGGGCTCAGATGATGTGAAGTTTTCTGTGGCTGCATTCATACAAATGGTGAAAATGTAGCATACCTCCCCTCAAAAGCCCGAAATTAAAGACATGCCCCCAATTTAATGTGATCAATTACAGAAATAGGTTTCAGACACTTCATGGTTTAAAGTCTCACAAAATAAAGCTTTCAAAGGATCCAGTTGTATATGATTTTTTAAAAAAATAAACATTCTTCTGCTTGGTAGCTGCACATTCTGTTGCAATTCTAGTAACTCGTTGAGCAGGTGTGGGATGCCCTAGGCTCATAGATGCTCATGAGCTGGTTCAACCAAGTAAGAAAAATCTCAGGTAAGGCCGGGCAGGGTGGCTCACACCTGTAATCCCCGCACTTTGGGAGGCCGAGGCGGGCGGATCATGAGGTCAGTAGATGAAGACTATCCTGGATAATACGGTGAAACCCCGTCTCTACTGAAAATACAAAAAATTAGCTGGGCGTGATGGCAGGCGCCCATAGTCCCAGATACTCAGGAGGCTGAGGCAGGAGAATGTCATGAACCTGGGAGGCAGAGCTTGCAGTGAGTTGAGATCACGCCACTGCACTCCAGCCTGGGCGACAGTAAGACTCTGTCTCTAAGAAAAAAAAAAAGAAAAAAATCAGGTAAACAGTTTGATTAGCTAGTTCATGTCCCACGTTCATACTCACTGTAGAAACTGTTATGTGTGGTCACAGGCTTTCAACGACAAAAGAAGGACTCGAAGCTGTAAGGAAACATGATCCTGAAACCCTGTGCACACGTGCAGCTGCCCACAGTGGCCACAGACAGGTGAGGCTGCGAGGCGGCCACGGAGCCCACGCCCTCCTGAGCCGTGTTCTTGAACATCCCGTCGCAAGTGTGACTGACGGGGCTTCTAGTAACATGGGGTGAAAAAGACAAAACAATTCCATACCAGTCAGTTCAACCAAAATGTACAGGAGAGACTAAGCCAATTTAACAGAAGATAAACAAGCGGTGTATTCAAGATAGTTTTAATATTAATTTTTTGTGAATTAGAAATATCACTCTTAAATGATGAAAATTACTAGTGAAGTAACTATTTTCCCCAATTGCAGAATTACATTATTTATACATATAATACAGAGTTGATTGCATTGGAAAATAACAGTATTAAACATCGACAGGTAAAAAGGGCATCTTCACACCGCACCTCAGAGGGCCGTGAGTCCTTTGTACCCATCTGCAAAGTAACTCCACCAGCATTCAACTATTTTTAAGTGCAAACAATTTTTTTAGATCTGTGATTGCAGCATCTGCCTTCCTGAATTACATTAAGTCAGAAAGTAACAATTTTCTGTATGAGTGCATTCAAGGTTGTCTTCTGACCACCTAAGGTATAGAAAAATCAGTGCAAAAACAGGAAAGCACTATTTATAACAGTTGAATTTCAGGGGATTTCTTGTCCAAGAAACATTCTATTTTACACTATGTATATATGTATATATTATATATATATGAGATTTAATTACATTGAATTTTAGAGTAAAAAGTAAGAAAACTCAATTTCTTATTTTTTACTGCAGCCCCAAAAGACCGATTTAAAATGGAAACAATTTCTTTGGGTGAGCAGTGGGAGCACGATGCTGCAGAGGGAGCCGGTCGCCGTCCACACGGCCCTCGTCGACGTCCACCGCCTGAGGTCTGCCGGCTGGCACGGCTCAGGCGCAGCTGGGGCTCCTCCTCGTCACTCCCTCGAGTCCAAGTCCCGGGAGGCTGTGCGCGCAGCAGTGGGGTCGCTACACTACAGTTCCACCTGGAGAACTGGCCTGGCTTGGGGATGACAATGAGCCCTGCAAACAAAGCAGTCTACATTAATCCAGCAAAACACCGGACGGGCGACAGCCACCATGCTTGCCCTCTGCCAGCAGCTCCATGTGGTCAAAACTGGTGCTGTTGGTGTGGAAGCCAGTGTGGGAGCAAACCCTCCACTTCATCTATTTAATTCCTATCCATATCACTGCGTTCAATTCCTAGAGAATTGGAACCCTGCTGGGTGCAATATTGTGGTCTCAACACTGTCCAAGAGAAGGGCAGGCAGGGCTGGCCTTGCCCCTGGGGGAGACAGTGGTTTCTCGGCACCTGAGGACAGGTTCTTCGGAGTTTCACTGACCCAAAGGTACAGGTGCCTCGTGGGAGGTGTTCAGCGCCTTCAGCCAGGGTTGAGCCCAGGGCCCCACAGTTCTGGACCGCACACCCAGTCCCTTGGAGCCAGGGGTTGCCTTCAAGGATAGAGTTCAGGGACACCTTTGAAAGGGCATTCTCTGCTGGGGGGGTTCTTGCTTTGCTGGGTGGTGCGACCATGGCACCCTCTGGCTGCAGCTGTCCACATGTGTAGGCCCCACAGGTAGAGGCAGGAGGGCCCAGGCCGAGGTGGGGGGAGCCCCAGAACAAAGGAGTCTTGTCGTGAGGCTGCGGCTGGGTGTGGAGAACGGATGTGGGGGCCAACCCACCAGGGCCAGCTGGAAGAATTGGGGGGGGGTGCTTCTGGCTCTTCAGGGCAACTCCTGCTGAGAGGCTCACTGGGGAGGGGAAATCTCACCCAGATTTAGCAAGACAGGCGTGAGCTTAGGTAAACCTAAGAGGGTTTAACTTCCCACACAGCAAAGAGTACTTCCATTTCTTTGCATTTACTATTGGGCGGCAGTTAAATTACATCAAGGCATGGCGTTCGTTTATGAAGAAGAACATTAAGATGGCGACAGTGCAGCCCCAAAGGTGCACATTTTCAGCTCTGGGAATGCAACTCAGCCTAAGCTGTCATGGAAGAAGGCTTTGGCTGATGAGTACTGCTTACAAATGACAAGCCTTTAACTCAAGCAAACATTGCTACCTTCTCACACACTGGACTTGTGTGGACACACGAGGGTGACAATCTGAAACTGCCATTCAGCCTCGCCCACACGCTGCTGCAGGAAGCCGGGAAGCAGGCTGTCCCGCTGGTCATTTCATCCGGTTTCTTCCCTTCACCTGAAATCTGTTCACCTAGACAAGCTCAGGAGCAAACGGAACGTGGCAGCTGCCCTGCTCAGAGGCTACAGGAGCGCTTTTCCTCTGGGACCCCTGAAAAGGGACAGAACCCTGTTTGTACTTGTGGAGGACCCCGCAAATGCCCCATACTTCTGGCTCAAACCCATCAAGGCTGTGGAGGTCAGCTGGGCAGCGGGTGGCTGACCGCACTTCTGCCACGGACAGTCTGGAGGAAGGAAGCCTGTAACACAGGACGCTCTGCCTTCATCACCGCGCGCACCCTAAGAAAGTGCTTTCCTCAAGCTACGTGGTGTCCAGGAGGTGACAATCTCCTGAACCAAGAGGCACCTCCCTTCCCCCCAGCCACAGAAAAGTCATCTACTCCTGGCAAGGGAGAAAGTGGTGGTGATCCAGCCTGGGGACAGACGGAGAGGGGCCACCTCATCTGGCAGCCACAGAGCCTCCCTCCCCTTTCACAGAGCGCCAGGTGGAGGCAAGTGCTGCTCCAGGTATGAGGCAGCCCTACCCACAGGAAGGTGGTGTCCTGTGAACCAATCCTGTGTTAAGTTTAGCTTCCCAGGAGCACATTTCACGACTTAAAAACAAGTGACAGCCAGCCCTGTGGGAGGCTAAGGTGGGGGGTTCACTGAAGCCCAGGAATTTGAGACCAGCCTGGCTAACATGGTGTATTTTTTGTATTCTACTAAAATGGTGTAGTCTACTAACATGGTGTAATTTTTGTATTCTACTAAAAATACAAAAATTAGCCGGGTGTGGTGGTGCACGCCTATCATCCCAGCTACTCAGGAGGCTGAGGCAGGAGATGGCTTGAGCCCAGGAGATGCAGGTTGCAATGAGCTACGATCCACTGCACTCCAGCCTGGAGCACAGAGCAAGACTTGTCTCAAAAAATGAAAATAAAAACAAGTGACATTAATTTTAATATTTTCTCTTTTTGGGGGGAGTCTCGCCCTGTCGCCCAGGCTAGAGTGCAATGGCACGATCTTGGCTCGCTGCAAGCCCCACCTCCTGGGTTCAAGCAATTCTCCTGCCTCAGCCTCCCAAGTAGCTGGGACTACAGGCGCCTGCCACCATGCCCGGCTAATTTTTTGTATTTTTAGTAGAGACGGGGTTTCACCGTGTTAGCCAGGATGGTCTCGATCTCCTGACCTCGTGATCCGCCTGCCTCGGCCTCCCAAAGTGCTGGGATTACAGGCGTGAGCCACCGCGCCTGGCCAATTTTAATATTTTCTTTAACTCAGGATGTTTCATAACATATTCAGCAATACAAAACTTATTAATGACTTTTTTGGTAAGAAGCCTAAGAGGTGTGCTGTGTGGTTGACACATTACGGCACATTTCAGGTTGGACTGGCCCCGGTTTACATACTCAGTGGCTGCAGGTGGCTCGTGACGGTCAGGAGGGACAGCACCCGCCCTTAGACGTCCTCTCACTGAGCGGGAGGCCGCTTTCCATCACTCCCAAGGGCGGGCGGGTGCTGAGACGCAGAGGTGGTGCCGCCACCAGGCTGCCAGAGCCTGATGTCAAGGGACACGCTGCTTCCACCCACTGGTCCCTACAAAGCCCTGCCCCTAGAAAGTGACCCAACCTGAGGGTTGCAGGTAGCTTCCTATTCTCCCATTAGCACAAAACAAATGTACACTACACTCATTCTCCAGTTTCTGCTGGCTAACGCCTTGATGCCAGCTGTGGTGGCAGCTGGGAGCCAACTAGAACCACCCTCATGCCCTCCACTGTCCCAGTCTCCACTGGGCCCACCTTCCAGAGACATCTTGAATCAACCGCCCTCCGCTCGCCTTCTGTAGTCCATACTGGCATAACAGGGAACTGGGGGTTCCCATTAGCAGGCCTTAGCCCTTTTCATGTCAACCCTGGTTAACAATTGTTTTAGAATGGATCGCCGTGCGGAGAATGTGCCCAGGATCAACACTCAGGGTCCCTACGCTGGAGCACTGGGGAAGCAGGTTGGCTACCGGTGAAAAACCCAAGAGGACCCCAGGGTGCTTGACCAGGGACTCCCTGGAGCCCGCCTGTCAGAGCAAAGGGGAGAACGGCGGTCTCTAAGAGGAGTTAACAGGAAGGCGAAGCAAAGACCCAGTGGGTCCGGCCTCCAGTTCTCCAGCAGTGAACCCAGCAAGCCCCAGGAGACGGGCCTGCAGGCACAAGCCCTGGAGTGCACTGGGCCTGCTGCGGCCCTGGGTTAGCATCAGTGCCAGGCATGCCCAGAAGCAGGGGGTGCGACACAGTGAGCCCTCCGGGTGGCAGAGAAGGGGCCTTGGCACCCTGCAGGCAGGTGAGGACTTGTGCGAGTCCATGAACCCGTCATCTTGCACCCATCACTTGCTGGAGATGGACTCGCTTTGCCGTGATGAACACTGGAGGCAGCAGAGGAAGAAATGCCATTCAGAAGAAATTAAATGGAAAAAAGCCACCTTGTTTCTGTCAGTCTGTGATTGAGTCTAAAGATTATCAGGTGGCAGAAGAGGAAGGCGAGAGCAGACACTTAGGCCCCCGTGGGAGGATCCAGGCTGCAGCTTCCCTCGAGAGCACGGTGGGAGGCGTGTTAGGTGTGGGGGATCCACTGCCCAAATGTTTATCCACGTCAAACTCCCAGTGGCAGGGACCCTGCTGCCCCAATCTGCCTGCGCCTCAGGGAGGGAGCGTGGTTTACCCTGTCCTCTGCTTCCTTTTCATGGGAGAAAAGGGGCAAGGCCCGGCCTGGCCAATGGAGAACCTGGCAAGGGGAGCCCACGCACACGTCACCTGTCCTCAGCAGCGTGCAGGAGCCGCTGGTCGGTCTGTGCACTGGAAGCAGGACAGCTGGCAGCTCCAGGCTTTACCAGTTGCCATCAGGCAAAGGAGTTCCCCAGGGAGAATCTGCACGGCGTCCCATCAGCCCCCACGCTGTGAGAGGAACGGGGCAAGCCTTGGCTCTAATACTTAGTCAGCTGCTCGGCTCTCCACAGTCACTGTTTCATTCCTGTAGAGATTTCAGTTCAAAATTAAGTGATAGAAAATACTCCAGCTCTTCGTTTGGGTTTGATTCTAATTTATAACACGAAGTTAAGAGAATTATCCCTTGTCGCACCAGAATATATAGGAAAAATATTTTGGTTCAAAACAATTTACAATAAAGCAGCAGGGCCACGTTCCTGCCCCTGCAGGTGCTGCTCAGACTGCAGATTCTGACAGCAAGACAGGACTGTGAGGGCCACAGGCCACATCAGAGGAAGGACATGTCCTGAAGCTCTGTCAGGCCCAGGACAGTCTCCTGGCTCTGGGTTCCGGGAGAGCTTCCCCTTCCGATGCCCACGACCCCGGGCCTGTGAATGTCAGAGAAGACAGAACCTCAAGGAGACAAATGTGGGATGTGGATGAGTGTGTGGGCTGGGCGCCAGCTCATCCCTCATCCACCTGGGACTGTTCAAAACCCTCTCTGGTCATTCAACTCCCAAGGTCACCCTTTCCAACCCAAACAAAAGTGACACGCAGACAGGCCCTGGGACCCGTTTTATTGCAGGCAGGCAGGCAGACTAGCACTTCTCTCCTGAGATTGTGGACAAAGTGCCACGAGACAGAATCTGCTTCTACACAGCCACAGCATCTGGGAGCTTGGTGCCAGCTGGCCGGGGTGCTGTGGAGGTCACCTCCACTGCGTCTCCCAGAGGAGAAGGCCAGCCTTGGCTCTGCACGTAGCCCCTGAGGCTCCAGTGCTGGCCTCTGTGGCAGGTGCTCCTGGGGAGAGCATGAGTTAAATGTTACTTGCAAAGCAATACCTTTTTAGAGACGGTGCAGGAACGA